GCTAAAATAATTTATTACTATTTTCTATTAAAATCTCTATCAATGATACTCTCTCTCTCTCTCTCTCTCGTTAATTAAAGTGAATTCAATCGTGAATAAAGAAAATCTGCCAAAAAATTACAGTTAACTTTCATTAACTTTTTGGGAAATTTTTTTATTACTTTTACATATATCATTTGAAAAGTTTCATTATGATCTGAAATGTCATTTCATTAATCTAAATTTTTTGGCTTGGTTAAGTAACTGACATTTCATGCTGTGATATGTACCATGTTAGGTGCTACTGATTTTACCATAATTTTTATTACTTTTTTGTCAAATATATTCTGGGAATTATAGATAAAATTTATTTTAAAAATTTTATAATTACTACTTTTTAATCCACATATTATTTATTTTAATGGACAATGTAAAAATTTATTTTAATTTTTCTATAACCCATTATTTTTAATTATTGTTTAATTAAAAATCTATAATAGGTTTTCTCATTAATAAAAAACAAAATTCTAAAATAGTTTTTTTAATTTTTTAACAATTTTATTATTATTTTTTGTCAAACATTCAAAGCCAACTGTTTTTCCACTTATTATAATCTGAAACAAAACAAAAGTTATATAAAAAGGAAAATATCAGACAAATTGGTAACAAATAAAAAACACTTTTAATACAATATACGGACATTTAATGTGTATACTAATGAAAAAATTGCACTATGCTCAGTTAATAAATAATAGGTACCGTTAACTAGCACTAACGCTACCACCTTAAGGCATTAATTGAAAAACGTGGTGAAACGGGTATTAAATATGAATGGATGTTTGGCCAGAATTTTTTTTAAATAAAATGATTACTGAAATACATAGATTATATTATAAATGTATTATATATACAGTATATATGCTATGGAATAATGAAAGTGAGTTGGATGTNTATCAAATATGAATGGATGTTTGGCCAGAATTTTTTTTAAATAAAATGATTACTGAAATACATAGATTATATTATAAATGTATTATATATACAGTATATATGCTATGGAATAATGAAAGTGAGTTGGATGTAGAGTGGATAGCATTGGGCGACGCCTTGTAATTAAATATTTCTTGTTTTAATCTTATGCTCTCTCTCTCTCTCTCTCTCTCTCTCTCATCGCATTGAAATAAATGCCTTAAGTCTATGGGAGGGAGAGTAAAATTGAGAGAGAGAGAGAGAGAGAGAGAGAGAGAGAGAATAAAAGTTCTAGTTAAGAAAAATACTAATACCACCGGCACCTCCTATTTCCAAACCGTACAGCAAATTAAAACAATCCGAATAATAATATTCACTCAATACTAATGCAAAATAATAACAAACAAAAAATACATAATAAATGCGCGCATAGTAAAATTAAAAGTAATAAAAATTTCACTTTTACGTCGATAGAAAATTCTCTCTCTCTCTCTCTCTCTCTCTCTCTCGCAAAACTCGCTGGACATCCCATATATAAATGCTATGGCAATGAGCGCTAAACTGTTCATTATTTAAGCGACTCTCGAAGGGAACAGTAGTTTCTCTAAGAATTTATAATTTTGTTGTGAGTGATAATCGACACCAGAAAAGGACTGTTGACTTCCCTCGCAATATAATTTATTTTTTGTGTTGATATTATACCTCTATTTGGACAACAAAAAGCATCATGAACTTCAAGATTGCTGTAAGTAATTCACCTGGTGTGAATGTTTTTGCATTTTTCATCCTGTTTATCATGTTATATAATTGTTTTTTATAAATTATAAAACTTTATATATGACTAAATTATTCATTAATTGTTCAAATATTTTTTCACATTAAAAGTGTGTGGAGTAATTATTTTATACACAACAATTGATCCTGATAATATGTGTGATCATTGAAAANTAAATTATAAAACTTTATATATGACTAAATTATTCATTAATTGTTCAAATATTTTTTCACATTAAAAGTGTGTGGAGTAATTATTTTATACACAACAATTGATCCTGATAATATGTGTGATCATTGAAAATACTGTATGATGATAAATTTTTGTTTAAAAAATTTACATTCATAAGAAAAGGAGATTTTTGAAAAAATTATTACATATTTAATTTTTAAGTGCAATTATTGTTATATACAGTAAACCCTCTACTATAGTGTACTTTAGGACTAATGAATATATACACCACCAAAATAAATAAATAGACCTAGTATCAAACCTGTAGAGTGAGCTAGATTAGCAAATGAATATTTCTTAAAAAATTTTGTGTACACTATTCAGAGACTAATCTATACTATAGAGAGAGTCTACTGTATAATTAAAATTTTATAATGTTTAACACAAACAAAATCAAATACTTATTTCAAAATTTTGTTTATCGATTTCACAGACAAAAAATTGAGTTGAATTTCATTAAACTATTTAACAAAAAAAATTCAATCAAAATAATTTTACACAACATTTTTTATAATATATGTGTTGCACTGGAAAGTCAACATATTTGCCCTCAACTCTCTCTCCCCTACCTGTCCCTCAATAGCTCTCTCATTAGCTCTCTCGATAGCTCTCTCACTCACTCTCACTCTCTCCCATTGATTATATACGTGAGATATAAACCCAGTTTTTGTAAATGTAGTTTAACCATACGCAATCGTTAATACCGTTATGTAGTGTTAGGGTGTACTGCAAAATAAATGATAGATAACTGTATATTTTAAAACGTTTAGTTAGTCATGAATATAGCCTCTGGTCATTTTTCTAAATAAATGTATTAATTTAAGGCCAGAAATTCAATCACAATTTCGGTTGAGGACACGCTGTATATATTGACAAATAATTATAAATTCAGCTCTATCACAAATAATAAATACTTTTTTACATTTTACCCGAATTATTCATAGAATATATTAATGAATAATAGAGTTATATAGGAAGTTTTATTTTTTGTACTTGCTTATATTTACATAAATTATTTTTAAAAAATTATAAATATTAATTATTAGCATTATATGATCTAGATAACAAAAATGATTATTAATTAGTTAAGCTATAAATATATTTTAAAAATTAAATAAACTTGCTCATCAAAAAATATAAATATAAGCATAATATAAATGACAATTGTATAAAAAGCATCATGTTTAAAAAAAACAAAAACCACCACCACCATAAAATCACCACCAAACATTATATTACAGCTCCTGCTGTCAATGGCAGCCCTGGCCAGTGCCGCACCGAAACCCTCGTGGGGTTACGGCGGTTACGGCGGCGGTTACGGGGGCTCATACGGGGGCGTCAAGGGCTACGGGGGCGCACTGGCGCACACCCACACCCACTCGGAATCGATCGAGAAAGTGCTTCAACCGTACGCCGTGCCCCAGCCCTACCCCGTGAACGTGGTGAAAACCGTTCAACAGCCCTACCACGTGGACGTGGTCAAACGGGTGCCCCAACCGTACGCGGTCAAAGTGCCGGTCGCCCGCCCCGTAGCCGTGCCCGTCATCAAACACGTGCCCCAACCCTACACCGTTGTGAAGGATGTCGTACGCCGAGTGCCCCAACCCTACAACGTGCACGTCGTCAAGGAGTCCATCCGTGACGTTGTCCAAAAGGTTGAGGTGCCGGTGCCGCAGCCCTACCACGTCAAAGTCGGCGTACCCCGTCCGTACACCGTGATCAAAACCGTCAGACAGCCCGTGCACGTCAAGGTGCCGGTGCCCCAGCCCTACGAAGTGATCAAGGAGGTTGT